AAGACCTTTTGCCTTGCGATGTTACTCAAAAGGAAAGTGTCATTGTTCCCATTTTACGGATGCAGTTATGGAGAGGTCACTTCTGGCGGAGTTGGAAGTAGAACTCTGGAGCTAGCTTCCAAGTACTGCTCCTTTCAGGAGGCGCGCAGCACAATAGGTGCAACTCCAGGTATGGGGCAAAGGTGTTGTTGAGCCAATTTTATGTCTACCAGATTCTGGGATGGAGTGTTGCCAGCTCTCATGATTTTAGTGAGAGTCTCATTTTTCTTAAAGCCCCAGCTCCCAGAGTCCAGCAAATACATGAGAATCTCAGTTTTCATTTTAAAAAAAAGTTTGTTTCTAGTCCTTATGGTTGCAGAGAAAAGCTTGAAAATGTGACCTGAGTGTACACTCAATATTTTTTCAAAAAGGTAAATTAAACTAATCTGAAAGGTATTGGTTTTTATAAAATCTCATGGATTTTTAAGCCGGTGTCATGGTTTTGAGGGGCCTAACTAATGATGATTGAGTGCTTGACATTAGCAATATTGGGGCTACTTTGGGGGCTTTAGAAGGGTATCATCTGAGGCACACTGCCTCCTTGGGGCTACTGTTCAGATGGTGCAGCATATACACCACCCCTTGCTTAGGACAGTGCCTGAAGGCACAATTTATCTTTCTGGATCCTATTCCCACCATATTCTCTACCTTGCTCTGTGAAGTTTTCTAAACCTGTCCTGTCTCTACCCTCTCCTAGTTTAAGTCCTTCCTTAAAAGCACTTTTTCTAAAAGCTCTTCCCTTCATTGAGAAGTGCTTGGTAATCTCAGCAGCAGTAGGAACATTTTAGAATGTTATGTATTTGAGGTACTTCAATTTATTGTAATTGTGACCAATCTATGCATTATGTGTGTTTTTGGAGGAGAAAAAAATCCACAACTTGTTTGATCTCTTGCGCCTCCAGATTTAATGTGATTCATCTGTACTGAAAAGTTATTAGTGTGTAAGAAATACCATAGGATCACAAGAAATAGCAAATTGCCTTTTGAGCATGAATGACTAGATTGTGTTTACAGTCTTATAGTCATCTGCTGTACTAACAGTAATTAAGAATGATGTTTTGTACACCCCCAGGCTCACATTTCATACCTAGGTGAATGTTACCATGGATTTCCGAACATGTGCAGTAGTCATGGCACACCTTTTAGTATTTACAGCATTTCCAAGCCATTAGCACTGTTCTGAAAAGCTTTTGTTCAAAAGCACTAAGCAAGCGTATTTTAAACCAGAACATTCTCACATGGAAAAAAGTCATTAATTAAGTTATGGGGGTGAAAACATTACTGTCAGTGTCAGCCTTCTGTTCTTAATTGGTAAAAGCATATGGACAGTAAAGTGAAGTAAACAATTATCCAGTACAGGTCCATTTGATTTTCCAAGTTTTGCTTTTTTAGATTACATTTAATCAGTGAAAAATTGTAGGTCCAACCCAATGCACATTGAAGTCAGTGGTAGGAGATTTTCCAATGAGTTCAGTGAATTTTGGAAAAAGCGCTGTGATGGGCAGGAACAATTTGAATGTTTCTCTTTAACAATTTGTCTTAGCACCATTTGCAATGCCTAGTATTTCATAAACTCTGCTTAAGTGAAAAGACAGCATTTTGATGCATTCCCCTCATGATTGAAAAAACATTTAGAAATATTAAAGCAGACAAATAATAAATGTCCTTACTTAAAATGTAGTATAAAATATATGAAAAATGTTACCAGTGCAATAATATAAAGCACCACAAAAAGTGTGTGAGACCGACACGTTAGCTAGAATAGAGGACTTGCATCTAATTTGCATAACTTTCTCTCTCTGTGTTGATGGATTCCTTAAGAACACCAAAGAAATAACTGTAAAATTTGTCTTCAAGGGGTTTTCATTTTTTAAATTTAATTTGGGAGATGGACAGTATAATTTTGGCATGTCTCTACCATTAGATCTTAAAAGTTAAAAATGAAGGAATTCCCTATTATTATGGATGTTCCTCTCATACCAGTTTTCAGTGCTAGTAACACATATGCTTTCCACATCTGCAGCTCCCCTGCATAATAGTGCTGTGTGTTGCTGTCTCTTGGGACCATTTGAGTTCTGATGCAGTGACCAGATTAACAGCACTACTGTGGCAGTGGTTGCTTTATGGGCATAGATGATGCTTATATAATATAATTACTGTATAGTTTACAACGTTGCTTTAAGTAAAAAAAGGAAGACCATTTGTCTCCATTTCCAAAAAACTTTTTTTGTGGGGAGGAACCTTTTGTTTTGTTTTGTTGGTTCCACTGCAAAAAAGTTTGAAGTTAACAGTTTGCTCAAAATTGGCAGTGAGGCTCCCATTTTTCTATAGGCCTAATTCTGCGCCATTGAAGTAAAGTCCTATTGACTTTAATGAGCACAGGACCTGTATTTCTGTTCCCCCTATTCCGCCGTTGTTGGCTATCCTCCATTCTATTCCCCATCTGGCCCGCCTCATTGAACAGCTATAGTAACACTCCTTCCCCCTGAGGTGACAGCATCATGAACACTGCTATATTAGCTCTGTGAGATGCAGCCAAACAAGATCACAAAACTTCTTTCCTTCCTCTAATTTTTCTTAGTACCTTTAAATAAGAGATATGTAGAATAAATGTATCATCCATGGTGAGGAGCTACAGAAAGGTGACCCAAGAATGACTGACTTCTGCACATTTCTGCTTTTAAAAAATAGGATACGGATGTAGGAGCAGCTTCCTCTCTTGACTCTTTATGACGTGACGATGATCATGCATTGTGTTGTCTGATGTCAATGGGGAAGTCTGTCATGAGCGTCTTTGGTTTTGTGTGCTGTGTAGTGCCTACCACTTAAGTGGTACTGAACAAAGAATAAACATTAATTAGCAGCAGCATTAAAGAGCAATGAATATGGGGACATGTAGTCCAACCCTTAGACATTTTATATCTGAGGTGTGGAGAACTGGAGGGTAATGCTGGGCTCTGTGGGCTATCCTTTGGTAGGCTGCATGGAGTAAGAGAACATATTTACATCATCCTGTAGAATTAAGGTTTCAGTAGAAACATAGTAACATTGCAAGAGGGAAGAAGGTTATGGTGTCCCATTCCCCACTCTGCCTAGCACTGGTACCCAGTCCTTTTCCTGTCTGTGTTTTTTAATTTGTTTTTATTTTTAATTAATCTGCAGTCAGTTTCAGTTTTTCTGAGTATAGACTTCCATATCTCTGTTAAGCTCCAACTAAGCATTTCTTTTCTTTGAGGGAACATGGTGCCTTATAGAACTGGGCCCATTAGGGTGACCAGACAGCAAATGTGAAAAATCGGGACAGGGGTGGGGGGTAATAGGAGCCTATATAAGAAAAAGACCAAAAAATTGGGACTGTCCCTATAAAATCGAGACATCTGGTCACCCTAGGGCCCATAGTTTTGAAGTCCAGAATTGGGAAACAGAACCTTCTCTAAGATTTTATTTTAAAGTACTAAGGAAGCAATGCTGAAGGCTTTTTTTATTTGGATAAAGAAATGAGGCATTTAAGCTGTAACCGATTAGTGCAAGTTTTTCTCTAGTGTGGAACAATCTCTGTTCAATGAAGACTTTTCCTGAGCAACTCAACTGCTTTAGTGAATGATTATCTTTCTAATTAATCTATCTATCTGCTGAGTTGAGATGTAGAGGCTTTTTGATGGAGATCATTAGTTTTGCATAGAATAAGCTGAATTAGAGTAAGTGTTAACAAGATATTCAAATTTTTCCCCCCATAAGATCAAACACATTTATCCTCAGTAGTTTAGGGAAGTAATTTGTGTTTGCTGTTTTATTAATGCATTGCCTGTGATACCATTCGAGTACATACCCAGGGTCCCGAGCAGGCTTGAATTTAGGGGGCTGCCCTGTGCTGCTGTCATGGCTTCTCTGCTAGATATTGGTACAAAACTATCTCAGGTTAGCTTACTTATGCTGCAATCACACCTCCCAGTTGCTGTGTAGTGTAGATGGACTCTCAGAGCTCAGTTATGCACCATCTTCATTTTATTTGGGTAGAGAAGCACAGCAGTGGTGTCTTCAGTTTCATTGTTGTGAGGTGGTAGAGGCGGAAAAGCAGCAGATTAGCTGGTCTGCTCTAGAAGCAGAAGTGCTTGCAAAGTCAGATGGTTGGGACAGGAAAAATTGCAGGAGTGCTTTTTTTACTTGTTATGCAGATGTTGTCTAGATGGTGTAGTTGCAATTTGATGATAACGTCAAAGCATGGCTTGTGCATAGCCTTATAAGGGAACACAAATGAGAATCGGACACAAAAGACTTCCCGAATTTGCCACTATGTAAGGTGCAATTCCTGTGGAATGGTTGAGGCATTAGCAGGCACTGCTCCTCGCTAGTGCCTCAACCATCCAGATGAGGCTATACTGGTGTAGGACATGCTCCCACACACTGACCAGCAAGCAGAGCTCGTTCATAGAATATCAGGCTTGGAAGGGACCTCAAGAGGTCATCTAGTCCAACCCCCTGCTCAAAGCAGGACCAATTCCCAACTAAATCATCCCAGCCAGGGCTTTGTCAAGCCGGGCCTTAAAAACCTCCAAGGAAGGAGACTCCACCACCTCCCTAGATAACGCATTCCAGTGCTTCACCACCCTCCTAGTGAAATAGTGTTTCCTAAAGGTGCAAGGGTGATGGAGTTGACATTGTACCGTGTGCTCCTCTGGAGGAATTCTGGATGACTCAGCAATAATTCCTCTTGCTGCAGGTTGGCCATCTCTGCATTGACCGTTTGTAATATGCCCCTGGCTTTCAAAGCTATTTGCAATAGGTGCATCTGAATTTCCCACACAAAATGTGCATGTGTCTGTACAAAACAAACAGCAAAAGTTACCCAGTTACCTGTGTTGTATATGTACCTGTGTGTTTTGAATGTGAAACCTTTTTGAAAATTTAACTGGTCAAAGCAATTTGATACTAAGAAATGTTCAAATGTTTTTATTTTCCAGACTGACCGCTCTACTAAAATATAGAATAATAACACAAGAATTCCTCAACTGGGAGAGCAGCAGAGGCAGTGTTAAGCACAAGAAATACTCCTTGTCCTGGGTGCTTCTAATTCAGGACGCAGTGGGAAGCAAAGGAGCCAGATACCAAATAAATGATGCAAGGTTTGTTTGTTTGTATTTAATTTTCAATTTATAAACCTGCTTACAAAATAGTTAGACTAACCCTCATAGTCTTTACCTATCCCTGATCCAGCTCTTATTAAAGTCAATGGGAGTGTTTCATTTGACTCCAGAAAGAGTTGCCTTTGACCAAAGTTTTGTAATTTTGTATCATAGCACAGATAAATTCTGTCTATACTTGCTCATAATAAAATGCCCTCTGGGTTTTACTTTCCCTGCAACTAACAGCTTCATGTTGAGGCAAATAGCCCTCTGTCCAAGGAGGGCTAGATGCAGCATTTTGGTGTCCATCTACACCGTCCGTGAATCCAAGACAAAAGTCACTTTCAAGAGTTGCAAAGCATAGTCCCCATCCCGTACTGCCCCAAAGGAAATAATTATACTAGACCATGGCTCTCAACCTGTCCAGACTACCATACCTCTTTCAGGAGTCTGATTTGTCTTGCATACCCCAAGTTTCACCTCACTTAATAACTACTTGTTTACAAAATCAGACCTAAAAATACAAAAGTATCACAGCACACTAGTACTGAAAAATTGGTTACGTTCTCATTTTTACCATTCAATTATAAAATACATCAAATGGAATATAAATATTGTACTTCAGTGTACAGTATATAGAGCAGTATAAACAAGCTATTGTCTGTATAAAACTTTAGTTTGTACTGATTTCACTAGTGCTTTTTACGTAGCCTGTTGTAAAACTAGGCAAATATTTAGATGAGTTGATGTACCTCCTGGAAGACTTTTGGTACCTCAGAGGTATGCATTCCCCTGGTTGACAATCACTGTACTAGACTTTAATTCTCATGATGCATAGTCTATCATTCTGCCTTAGTCACCATTTGGAGCTCATGACTGTGGGTCAGTGTGGCATGTGGAAGATATCTGGGTCTGTGGTGCATTATAAAGAGTTGGTGCAGATTGTGTGTGGTTTTTTTTTTTCCTGCTGTGGTTTTATGAAGAGATAATGTTGTGGGAGTCAAGTTGTTTCTTGGCATTTTAAAGATGATGTGATACGTGAAAGGGGGAGGAGAGGACACCCAGCCAGCCAGACAGGTAGCCGTAAAATCCCTCTTGGTCTGTCCTTTGCTTGTTAACCCTTTACAGGCAGGGCCGGCTCCAGGCACCAGCTGAGCAAGCTCGTGCTTGGGGTGGCAGATTCTACGGGGTGGCATTCCGCCCAATCCTACGGTGGCACGGCTGCTTTTTGTTTGTTTTGTTTTGTTCGCCAATCCGGCCGCCTTGTAGGGGGTGATGGCATGGAGGAGGGGAGTGCCCCGCTGGGAGCAGGCTGCACACTCCGTCTGCCCCAGCCAAGGGGGCAGCCTGCGTCCTTCCCTCCCCTCCAACTGGAGCGGCGCGGAGCCCTCCCGGCAGCACAGCGGTCGGGGCCGCATGACAAGCGCTGCGCTGAAGCCCTGGCCGCCCCCCTTCTCTCTCCCTCCCTCTCCCCCCCCCCACTAGCCGGGGCGCACACTCCGCTGCCTGGGGCACATCTGCAGCGCGGGGAGTCCCCCTGCACCCTAGCTCCGGCCGCGCTGCAGGGTTTTTTTTTTTCTTCCTGTTTTGCTGCTCCGGCCACGCCGCAGGGTTTTATTTTATTTTATTTTAGCGTTGCCGTTCTGGCCGCCCTGATTTAAAAAAATTTTTTTTTTGCTTGGGGCGACAAAAAAGCCAGAGCCAGCCCTGTTTACAGGTAAAGCAAGCAGAGAACAGACCAAGAGGGATTTTGATGCACTCTCCTGGGAAGGTTTTCCAGAATCAGCCAGGTAAAAATGTCCCTGGATTTTAAGTCATTGTAGTCCTTGAAATGTAAAAAGTACTGTTTAGTTCTTCATGTAATTATTAGTAAAATTAGAGGTGCATGTATCTTATTAACTCTGTTTCCTAAACCTCCAGGAAGAAATCCCAGCTGGTGTGGACCTGACCTGAACCAGGCTGGCCAGCACCATCTGTGATTTGGGGGGCATGTGATACATGAAGGGGGAGGAGTAGCTCCCTCCCCCTTCATGTATCACAGATGTTTATCCAGGGTATTTTATAAAGGAGTGATGGTAGGCTGTTTTGTTCATATTTCTGATTCGTTTGAATTGCTCCTTAGTTTTGTTTTACTGACATAATATTTAAACATATATATAATTATGTGGAGCTGCTGGGGTACCTTGAGCTATAAGCGTCAGGGCCATAAAGAGACTGTCTGACCCAATGGTGAGAGCCTCGGGTGGGTCAGAGTCACAGTTGTGAATCATGACAAAGTTTAAAGTCCGAGTTCGAGCCACACCAAGGATTAAGCTAGTGTTGGAGTCAGAAATCATGCCAAGGGTCAAAGATGGAATCAGCAGCAGGGATCAGGGCAGGGTAGCAGGAGCGGGGACAAGATATGGTAACAAGAACAAGGAGTAGGAGCCCAACAAAGAAGCAGGGACTTCTGCTTCTGAAGAACTAGTTGCTCAGACAAAGGGTGGGACAGGAACAGGAAACTTTTATACACCATGCTGTCCAATCAGCAGCCTGCTCCTAATCACCGAATGCTGCTGAGTCAGCGGGTGTAGCATCTTTTGGTGGGGCGTTTGCTGCATTTTCCTCCGTGGACTCTGCAGTGTGGTGACACAGAGGATAAAGTTCTTGCTTGGCAACCCAGTTTGAGTTCTGCAGTGCCTAACAATTAGAAAAAGAAATACAGCTATGTAGGAACTGTGCAGGAGGAGCCCCATGACTAACCTCAATAAAGGTGCTTCCGTTGAGCCTCTTTAAGGCTCAATCCTGTGAATACTTGCGCGCATCATGCTGACATGGAGCTAGATTGTCCAGAGCCCTCGCTCATCTGTGCAGAGGATTAAGGCCCTTCTTTTTCAACCTTGCTCATTCTGTCGTAGTCCCATTGCATACTCATTTACGCTTCTATACAGTGAGTGTAAAAAGCTACAGTGAGTTCCAATCTGTGGAGAATACAGATTTGATAGCATTTTACATCTGCTTTGCACAGATGTAAATGATTATACAAGGTGCAGGATCAAAGAGAACTAGGCCCCTGGTCTTTGTAGTCCTACTGTTGTCACAAGTAATGCCTAAGATTAGTAGAACTGAAAGAAACAAAAGGCAGTAACTTTTACAAAACATGAAACTCTATTGTAACACCATAAATATTGGCAGGTGGATACAGGCAACTACTTCCAACGTGTTTTTTTTTTTTTTTAAATTGGTGTCCCTTTTAAAATCCTCAGATAGGATTGCTTTTCAACACTGGCAAATCACTTTGGGTCAAATTGTGACCCAGCTAGCATGGCAGTGGGCATATGGTCTCTCTGAATCACAGCCTTCATTCCAGGAGCAGCACAACTAATGAACTGCACCTTGCTCAGGCCAGACTGTTGTCTTGGAATCTAACCCTTTAGGTGACTGACGTCAAATTATGTATTGCATAAACAATCTATCGGGGTTGTTCCTTTATTTTCCTTTTTGGTTGGCTTGAATTTTTTTTTTAAACTAAGAAAAGACTATACTGGGCCCGATCCTGAAGTTGATGGGAGTTTTGCCTGCTGAAGAATCGCAGGATTGGTCCAGTGTAGCACCGTGTGTTTTTTAACTCTTTTTGGGGGCATAGATACTATTTATCATTTTGTAAGTAAAGTTCATCTGAATTGTTAAAATCCTTAGCAGCTACCTAGGGTTACCATATTTTAATTTTTAAAAAGGAGGACACTCCCTGGGGCCCCGGCCCTGCCCCAACGTCCGCCCCTTCCCCGCCCCAGCCCCGCCTAACTCTGCCCCCTCCCCTCAACGCTCTGCCCCCTGCTTCTCCCACTCCTCTGCTTCCTGCGAATCAAATGTTCGCGGGAAGCCTGAAACAGGGAGGCAGCAGGTAGGCTGGGGCGGGGTGCGGCGCGGCGTGGCCCAGTCCGGCCCCCCTGGCCGAGCGGCTCCCTCTGGCGGCCGGCCAGCCCAGGCCAAGAGGCTCTGGCCCC